GGGTTGAGAAAGAATTGAGATGTGTTTTATATGTGTACCAACTCCCCACAGGGAATGTGAACATCATGCACTGCAAAAATGTACTAATGTACTAGATGGTCTTTATCTCAATCTGATAAAAACCATCTATGACAAACCAACAGCCAACATCATATTAAATGGTCAAAAACCGAAAGCTTTCACTCTAAAATCAGGAACAATACAAAGATGTCCACTCTCACCACTCCTACTCAATCTAGTTCTGGAAACATTAGCCACAGCAATTAGACAAGAGAAAAAACAAAAGGAATAAAGGTAGGAAAGAAAGAAGTTCAATTATCATTATTTGCTGATGACATAATACTCTACATAAAAGACCCCCAAAACTCCACCAAAAGATGTCTAGAATTAATAACCAAATTCAGTCCAACAGATGAATACAAAGTTAGTACTCAAAAATCAATAGCGTACCTGTACACAATTAACAAACTCACCGAGAGAGAAATTACAGTAGCCACACCTTTCATAAGAGCATCAAGAAAATGAAATACTTAGGAATCAATCTAACAAAGGCAGTAAAAGATCTTTACATTGAAAACTACAGTGTTCTGAAAAAGGACATCAAAGAGGGTATCCAAAAATGGAAATATATCCCTTGCTCTTGAGTAGGAAAGACCAACATAATGAAATGGCTATACTCCAAAAATTATTATATAGATTTAATGCAATCTAATCAAGATACCATTAACATACCTCACAGAATTAAAGAAAACAATCCTAAAATACATTTGCAACTAGAAGAGACCAAGAATAGCAAAAACAATTCTCAGCAACAAAGGCAAGGCAAGAGGCATCACAATCCCTGACTTGAAATTATACTACAAAGCTACTATGATAAAAACAGCATGGTACTGGCCAAAAAAAGACCTGAGGATCAATGGAACAGATTAGAAGATGCAGAAACAGCTCCAAACACATTCAGCCACCTTATCTTTGACAAAGCAGCCAGACACATTCACTGGAAGAAAGATAACCTCTTTAATAAATGTTGCTGGAAAAAGCTGGCTTACCACATGCCAAAGACTAAAACTAGGTCCATGTCTCTCTCACCATGCACTAAACTAAAATCAAAATGGATCAAAGCTCTAAATGTTAAAACAGAAACACTAAATCTGCTGGAAGAGA